CCTCTTCAGTAAGTCAGCTTCAGAATCCCTAGTTTTAGTTCTGATGTGGAAAAGTCAGGACTTTCTTAACAAGGGGAATTGTCAGCAGGGCATGCAGGGACACATGAACAAAAGGCACAGACAGGTGTTAGGGGGTGAACATTGTTACTGTCCTGTGGCAGCAATCTCCAGCAGGAGCAGCTTGTTTCAGCCAGAGCCTGGCTCTTCAGCTGAGGTGCAGCAGCTCCTGTTTCTCCCTTGGTGGCTCTCAGGGTGGCTGTCACACACACATCAGCCACAAACGAGCCCAGTAGTGGATCTGTTCCACGGGGATGAGTAAGAAGAATAGCAGAGAAGGCAGCTGGGAGCCAGGCAGTGGCAGGGCTCCCCTCCAGCACAGCAGCCTATTATGGGCTGTTTGGTTTCATTTTATCCAACAATGTACTTAATTGATTTTGATTTTTTTTATGTGAGTTCTATGCCTCATCTGAGATTCCTATTCAGGTCCTGATGTCAAGCAGAGCTTTGCCACACAGTAGGGCCCACAGAGGCTGTGGCTCATGGACTGCTAATGAACCATCATGTTACAAATTGCAGCTGCATTGTCAGGCTGTACAGTGAGCTGGTACAGGGCCATTCAGGCCACACCTGCACTCCACAGCACATTGTTTCTCTTGCTTACAATTGCCCACATCCTGGAGTGGTTAGAGTGTTACATGAACCGTTACAAGAGGAATTTTTTTTTAAGAATGGGGGGTACTTTTCAGGAACAAGCTCAGGAGTGCCAAAAGGAGAAGCAGAGAAAAGGATAAGGAGGGTGGTGAAAGGGATAAGGAGGTTGGTAGCACAGCCATATAATGGTGTGGACAGCAAGACTCATTATATTTCATAGAAAAATTTAGAGTAATTAAGGGACATTATTTGCATCCTTTTTGAGGAGGGGACACCAACAAACTCTGAATTTGAGGGCTGCCATCTGATGAGGGTCCAGGTTACTCAGAGTAATCTGTTAGAACTGTTTCTGTTTCCAGTGATGTTTCTCACCCTTTGTCAGTGCCTAACTTTCCCAGTGGGAGCTGTTATGGGTGTGAACACAGTAAGCCATGGATATGTGGAATAAAGTCTGCCTGACAGTAGAGGTTGGAGCTCTTACTTTAGATTCCACCAGGAGCCCTGACCAGAAATGAGCTCAGATGGGCCACTAACTAAAAACTTTGTGAAGCCACAACTCAATAATGGACACCAGGAAACAAATTTTGTTTTATCTGCCCCTCTTAGAGCACAGGATGAGAACACAAACACACACTGACTGTGCATGTGTGACAGTGTGTGGGAAGTGCTGGGCCAGGAGCCTCTGGGGCTGCTGCTGTGCTTTAATGACCTTAGAGGGTGACTGTGACTCAGGCAGAGTTGCCAGCTAGCACGAGAAGAGCCAGATGAGCAGCAGTGTCACTGCTTCTCTTCTGTGTCCCACAGCTGCATCCTATGACAAGCGAATTGCACTCTGGGATATTGGGATTCCAGACTGTGACTACAATTTCAAAGCAAGGTAAGGGTTCAAAAACCAGATGTGGCCACTCCAAGAGCCTGTAACTGTCAGTCACAGCAGCACTTCTTGTTCTCTGCTTGTTTTTTTTCTTTTTTTCAGTCAGCTGCTGGTGCTGGAAACAGCTTCTATCCCCCTACGGATTGCCCTGGTCCCCACCTGCCCAGAGCAGTACCTGCTGGCAGGCTGTGAAGATGGCTGCTTTGCCTGGAACATAAAACTGGATAAAGGACAAAAAAGCAGGTGAGAACCACAAGCTGGAGGTCTGCATTTGCTTTCCATAACAAGAAGGGATAGTCCTAGCAAAAGCTTGATTTCTGAGGAGGTCAGAGCAAAAGCAGCACATCCCACCAAACTTAAAACATCCTATCTTCCCAAAGTGACCAGAAAAAATAGGAGTATGATGTTCAAGGACTGTTCAGAGCTTGTTTAAAGCTGCAGTCTGCAGGTGTTGCAGGCTCCTTTGCAGGAAGGCTGGCAGGAGTGTAATCCAATACCCCAAAACTTAAGGGTGTGTCATCTCCAGGTAGTGTAACGGAGTGTAAATTTTTGGATCGATTTCCAGTCTCACAGTGAGGCCTCCCCTGTTCCTGGTACGTGAGGTAACCCAGGAAACTGGCACCCTGTGAGAGCTCAGGACAAAATTACAAGGGAGAAGCAAGTAAAGTCATGCCCTGCTGACAAATGTCCTGATGCCTGCTTTTGCAGGATGGAGTGAAACAACAATCTGTTGAGCAAACAGGCATCTGCTGTATTAATAAACCCAGGTAAGCAAAAGTGTGAATTCAAGTGAGAATTCATCTGAGCTAGGCAGGAGACTCACTAACACACAGATTTCCTTCTGGGCTCTGCAGCAGGGTGCCCTTTCACTGCTGGCTGTTCAGGACTTGGCTCATTTCACCCTTTCCCCTACTCTAGGCCTTTTGAAGCCATATTCCAGTTTCCTGATGAGGAAGGCGTGACAACATCTCACAGGGTTGATGGTTTGGCTTTTCTCAATGATGATGTTGTTGGTGAGTATAAACACAATCCCAAAACCAGTGGGGCACTTCAGCATGTGCAGGGTGAAGCCAGCATGACAAGCAGAGGGGCTGAAAGGGGTGTGACAGCCTCTTTAGCTTTGTGGGGGCTGCACAGGATGGAGTTGTCTCCCAGAGTTGCTTGTCTTTCCCAAAAATTGTCACCTAGAGTGCAAACCCATGCTTGGACAGGACCAGAAATCAGATGGACACAACCCTGAGAGCACACTTGGCCAAGCAGTGCCAGTCTGGAAAGGAGGAGAGTCCCTTTCTGCTCCAGGCATGGTGGCAACAGTGGTTTTTTTCAGGAGAACTGGAGGTTTCACATCACAGGCTGGCTCTTTCTGAATAGCTTATGCTTGTTCTGCAGCTCAGGAACATAAGCATAGCACTGAAAATCTCTCTGCAGCCTCCAGTTATCCTGAAATAAGGTAAAGCAGGTGGAAACAGTTACTGCTGGATAGATCCCATGGCTTGAAATTCATATTCTGGATGGACCACCTCTGTCTTGATGCATTTTGCTTCCCAGCAGCTGCCTCAGCCTCTCCTTTCCTTTCTTCCCTAGTTTCCAAGAGCTCCAAACCAGGATGCATATACTTGTGGAGCTGGAGCAGGTCTTTTGATGCCAAGGGAAAAGGATGCCAACGGACAATGTCTGCAGTTATTCTGGCTGAGCTGGAGTGGTCCACAACAGACATGTCCTACCTGACACTCAGCACCTGCCCAGGTGGGAGCACTCATTTCCTGAGTAATGCTTTTCCCAGTTGTTCCTGGCTCTCCTTTGATCCATGGGAGCAGCCTGGAGCTGGAGGCAGAGGCCTGGATTTCAGAGCCCATCAGAGAGCTCTGCTCTCCCCTCTGCAGCTCTGCAGTGCAGCTCCAGCACTGCACGGCCTCAGCCCAGCACCAGCTGGCTGGAAATAACACCACAAACAAACCTGATCCAGTCAGCACTTCCCAAAACCAGTCTAAAAAATATCAGGAGTAATCCCAAAGCATTTATCACTAGCTTCTCTACACTAAAGACAGCTGCTTTATCTTCAAATTAATTATTTCAGAGCAAGGTCGATTCATATTTTTGTGCCAGTAAGGGAATTTTGCTGAAATTTGGCACCCTTCATTGAGATCCTGCAGCTCTCCTGGAGCTCTGCTTTACAGCAGAACAGACTCCCAGCTCCACACTCATTTTCCAGCTTTTTGTTCTGCTCTCACAGCAAAAGAGTACGTGTTCTGTGGGGATGAGAATGGCAGTGTGTGGATGTACGACCTCTCCAGCTACACCACGGCCTGGGGCTCTGCGAAGGGGAAGCGCTCGGAGCGGAGCATCTCTCCCACACAGGTAGGTCTGAGGTGCTCTCTGGGCCTCCTTTCCACCCCTGATCCCAGTCTCCTGAGCAGGCTGATCCCAGAACATGCAATCTCCAGAGCGTGGTCAAGGCTGGGACAGGAATGAGGAGCTGCAAAGCAAACCTGTCACCCCTGAAGCTCTTCCTAGAAGAGCCTTAAAAAAATGGTGGTGGTTAAACTGAGGAGCACAAAAGCACAGGTGTGCAGGCACCACATCCCCCAGGGAGGGAAGCCAGAGTGAACATTCCCTGGCAGAAAAGGGCTCACTGCTTCCCTGTGCTCACTCACCCTTCTTCTGCCCAGTATTTCCCTCTGGAGATGATTCTCTTTTGGGCAGTCAGTTCCCTTGCCTGTCCCTCTGAAAGGACAATCACAAACACTCCAAAGGCTCTCACCCACTGGTCTGGAGCTACATTAGGCTTGAAGTGACCCCGTGTTCCATTATTTCTTCACTGAAAGGGTTGTTCAGGTAGTGGAAGACACTGCCATCCCTGGAGGTGCCACCCAGAGCTCTGCTGCACAAGGTGCTGCTCGGTCACAGCTTGGACTTGATGCTCTGGGAGGTCTTTTCCAACCTCAACCATTCTGTAATTCCTCAGGTCTTTTTTGGAAGTGCATTGCCAAGCTAACCAGTCAGTTCCTCTGGGACTGAGGTGCAGCTGTTTTCACTTGTCCCTCCCTGCTCAAGCCCCTGTGTGCTAAACCCTGGCCCTTTAGTGTATCCCACAGCTCCACCAGCCCCTCAGAAAAAGGAAGATCCTCTGCCTAAGACACTCCACTACCCCCTCTGCTCTCCCACAGATCCTCAAGTGGCCAGAGCTCCGGGTGAACGGGGAGCAGCCTCCTGAAATCCTGGTGAACAACGTGGTAGCAGACCCTGCCTTCACCTACCTTGTTGTGCTGACCAGTGTGAACATAACAGCAATCTGGAAGAAGTCATAGTTCCCTGTGCCACAGTTCCACCCCCGTGCTTTGACCTAGTGCAGTATTAGTGACTGTTACCCATGTGCCCATCAGCGTTTTCTAGACCAGCTTTATGTGCAAGATGGAGAGAAAAAACAAAACAAAACAAAACAAAACAAAAAAAAAAACAAAACTAAGGTTAAGAGTTTGTTAAACTCATCAGTTCATTGTAAACATCCGGTTTCTTTTACTGTAAGTTTTCACAATTTGTGCATTTGTTTTATAGAGATGACAGTTAATAAAACAAAATACCAGTTCAGCTGGCAGTGCCTGGAGTTTTTGGCAGGAAAAGCAGAGAGTTCATCTAGAGCTGTCACTGAGCAGCTTCTCATGCTGGAATTGTACCCACAACAACCTCCCCAACAGCCCAGGACAAATATTTGCTTTAAGGCTCCAATTAGAAAACTAAAAATCACTTTAATGACTTATCCACCAACTCCAACGTGACATTTATTCTCTTGGCAAAGTGCCTGTCAACTATGAAAAGAAACAAACCCCAAACTCAAAATATTGCTGCTGTCAAAAATTAAACAGAAGTGGGACAAGGGGGAAAATATTTGCCATGAATGGAGGTTTAAATATTTCATCCAATAACAGACACATCATTCTGCCTCAGAAGTAACAGCCTTGCTCCAAAGGGAGTATTTTATTCAATTCCTTCTTGTTTGTCCTTAATAGCAACCTGAAAAGCAAAAATACACATGCTGAGACAAGAGTTGTTACTGAGCTGGATGTTTAATCATTCCTGACTCTTCTGGGAATCACAACAACCCACAGTGGAAATCTCTACAGCAACCAGAATAAATGATAGTGAAATTAAAATAAAATCTTATTTACAAATGGGTGCCCTGGTGCCTTTTCCCAGCACATCAGAGGTACGACCTCAGTCACAGTCTCCCTGAGTTTGTCTGAGCAATATTTTAGGCAGATAAAATCCCAGAATTCAGGGGCTAAATCAATGAAGCAAGTGAAAATATAGACCCAGAGTTCTGTCAAGAGAAGTAAAAAAGAAAATAAAAGAAAATACAAATGCACTTAAGAACAGCCAGGCTCTGCCATGCTTTGACAGCAGCTGAACAGCACAAGGAGGGTGACTTGAATTAATTCACAACCCTAAAACCCAGCAGCTTTCAGACACACGACCCCTTTGATTAATTACAACAAGCCCAAATAATTTTAAGGAAAAAAAAATAAAAATAAATACCCTTACCCTGAACCTCTCTTCCAGGAGGGAGAGTTCACTGATCAGGTCCGTGATGGCATTGGTGAAAGCCTCCTGGGGGCTGTAATCCGGCGTGGTTTGGACACGGATGATAATTTTATGTTCCAGAGGGTGTGGGACCTTATACCCTGCAAACAGCACCTGCGGGTCTTTGAGCAACTGCCTGCAACCGGAATAATAAAAACCAAACCGGTGAAAGGAAGGGCGGGAAAGCCACAAACCTCCCCCGAAACTTCCTTCCCGCTGGAACTTACGACTTGATGATGTTCCCCAGCGTGTGGTCCTCCTTGTTGATGGTGAACAAGCAGGCGTTGGGCACCTTGGTGTCCTTGTTGATGGTGATCCTGGGGGATCATCACGGGGTACAGGGATGTCACCGACCCGTGCGGGCCAGGGAACAGCGGGGGGATGAAGGAAAGGCCCGGGATACCTCCCCCCACCCCTCCACCGCGGTTTAATTAGGGTTATTTAGTCGCCCCGTGGGTATGCCCTCACTTTTTCTCGCCCTCGAAGAGCAGGAAGGACTCGAAGGCCGGAGGAGCATTCATCCCGCCGTTGCTATGGCGGCCGCCGCTTCACTTCCGCTACGTCACTTCCGCCCGCTCGCTGCTTCCAGCGGCCCCACAGCGCCCCCAGGCGGGCGGGAGGACTCGCTGTGGGCAATGGCAGCGGGGACAGCGGGGCTGGGGACAGCGGGGGACCGGGGACAGCGGGGCTGGGGACGGCAGCGGAGACACGGGGGGCTCCCACGCAACAGCCACCGCTGCGGCCATCGGCGGTGGCATGAGGAGAAAACACACCAGCGACACCATCAGCGGTGTCCCCACTGGAGACACCATCGCGGTGATCAGC